AAATGCAACAAAATCTGGACAATATCCAGGCTTGGGTTGATAAGTGGCAAATAACATTCACGCTACACAATTACCAGGCAATGACCATCTCCAATAAGAGATGATCTAACCACCTGGTGTTACCATCACTGAATATCCTATTACCAACATCCTGAGGTTACCATTAACCAGAAACTCAACTGGACTTACCACATAAACATGGTGGCTACAAAAGCAGGTCTGAGGTGAGGAATACTGTAGCAAGTAATTCACCTCTTGACTCCCCAAAGCCTGAACATCACCTACAAGGGTACAAGTCAGGATTGTAATGGAATACTCCCTACTTGGCTGGATGGATGCATCTCCAAGAACACTCAATAAGCTTGAAACCATTCAGGACAATGCAACCTGCTAGACTGGCACCACATTAGCAAGTATCTACTCTCTCCACCACTGATGTTCAGTAGTAGCAGCGTGTACTATCTACAAGATACTCTGCAGAAATTAATCAGATAGTGCCTTCCAAACCCACAACCACTAGGACAAGGGCAGCAGATACATGGGAATACCACCACCTCCAAATTCCCCTCCAAGCCAAGCATCATTCTGACTTGGAAGTATATCATTGTTCCTTTACTGTCGCTGGGTCAAAATCCTGGAATTCTATCCCTAACAGCAATATGGGACAATCACAACGGCATATAGATCTCAGCAGTTCAAAAGCAGCTCACCACATCCTTTTCAAGGGCAGCTAGGGACAGGGAATAAATGCTGGCCCATCAGTGATGCCCACATTCTACGAGTGAAAATAAAATAATTCAGTGTTCAGAGAAACGCTGACTCGTGTTTTGACTTTGAAATCTTCCGAATTTCCATTTGTTCTTCAACGCCTTCCTACTCTTTTGCCCTATGTTTGATGTCTTCTGTGGTTCTTTCTCTGACCTTTAGAGTTTTCCTTTTTAGTTGTTGCCATGGGTTTTAATCACACTTCAAATTGTGTTCTGGACGTTTCTCTAGTTGCCAACACACTTTATCAAATGCTGTAAGTTAATAGTACAGTCAGAATAGTTAGATGTTTCCCCCTAGTTTCTCTGGGCTGTGAGTGTCTGTATACATAGGCCTGAGACTGTTGACTTCTTACCCTTAGGTAAGGTTCTTCCAGTCCTCATGAACTCATCCGTATATCATGGGTTACTAAATAAAGGTCCAGTGTAGTATATAAGATCTCTCTCATTACATGCTTCCTCTTGTCTAATGTCTTCTCTTGCTCACTCAAACTGAAGTCAGAATTACATCACCATTACTCGATCATCATTTGAAAACATCATTATACTTTGAAATAGTGTGGAGTTGTTTTGGCAGGAGGAATAAGAAGTTCACAAGCTCCTTGAAAAATGAGTGCTCTAATAGGTTAAAAGGGCAGATGTACCAATACACAATCATTAAAAAGTAGCAACATCAGTTTATAAAGAAAGCACTTGGTTTCTTTCTAGTGTGATAGAATCAAAAAGCAGATATATTATTCCAAAATTTTATACAAGACTTTAGAAGACAGTTGTATGTTAAAATATTTCTTTTGACTTAAGGTAAAAAAAAATTGCCCTGAGGATGGTGGGCTCACATTAAATCCTTTGACTGGTGGCAAGCCCATGTGATCTGGTTAACATGGGATAGAAGTTCAGGCCAAAACCTGTTGAAAATCAAGTAACAGGTTTTCTACATCAATACAAAAGACAAGCAATTATTATACTACAGACACACATTGACAGGGATACAGAAAAGCAGCAAAAAATGGTTTGCTTTTTCTTTGTGTTGGGCACAATGTAAGATGAGGCTGTTGCTTTTTCAAAGAGATACACCTTTTGGCAACTTAAGGATCAAGGTTCACTGACTATCGTCCAGGAACAAGGTTCACTGGAGTGGACCTTGTTGCTGGAAGATGGTCAGGGACACATAAAAGACAGAGTGGAACAACTATCAAGAGGAGTGAGGAAGAACAGTGATTGCTGACAAGTCAGGAGAATTTTGGAATGTAATTTTCAAGGCTACAAAGCTGTTGGGAATATGGCATAAAATAAAATTACATTAAAGTATTTTGATTGTGTTAGTTTGAGGAATGTACCTTTTCTTAGACTGTTATCTTAGCTGTGTTTTAAGTAGTGTTTAATTTGTGTTGCATTTAGAGTGTTAGAGTATAAGTCCTCTTTCACATCCTGTACTTCTGTACTTGTCCCAAATTATGTTCTTTATCTTTATATTATCATCCAGTTTTTTGTTTGATCTCTTCTCTATTCCACCTTATCATAGACCTTTTCTTTTTTGCTCTCCCTCTCCCCACTCTTTCTGTCTCTGTACATGCTTAAGACCAGTTACATCATCAGCAGTTTCTAGTTGTGATGAAGGGTCATTCACCTGAAATGTAATTGCTGTTTCTCCCTGCAAAATGTTTCTGTTTTATTTCAGATTTCCAGTATCCACAGTATTTTACATTTTTACTCATTAGCTGTGTTATAGAATTGGTGCATTCACAAAATGCCACCCCACTTTTCTAGCAAGAACTTCAATCTAAATTCTGGGATATATACAAAAAAAAGCACACTGGAGGTTGAGTCAATGATGAATTTATCCAATAGAGGAATTATGAGGTATTGTTTTGGCATGACTTTGCCTTTTGGATGCGCTGTCCACGAGGTAAATAGAAGTTGGGGGAGACTTCCTGGTTTGCTGTACTACGTCTTAACCACTTAAAGTCGTGGCAGAATGTCTGTCATTCAGCAAAAGGATTGGTGACTGCTTGAAATGGTCTTCCATTATTCCAGTGCAATGATGACTTGAACCACAAACACAAGAAGAAATAATATGCAATAGAGCTGGAGGTGGAAAACTGGAGAGTAGCTTATTGATGCCTGGGATTGCATGACTATTTGTATGATTTATGTCAGCCTCAGATAGTGCTGACAGCTTTACAGAGCAACACCTTACCATCCTGACATTTAAGATTTGACGTTAACTTCCACATCAGACCTATTCTCTTGTAGCATCACAGCACACAGCACAATGACTAGCAATAAATTTCAGCTGCATTTTTCAAATTATTGTTTCAGATTTTTCACGACACTTAGAATAATTCGGATAATTGCATGTTACAAGGTACAATAAATCATGGATTTTGACTCAATTAATGCCTCCGTTCAGGGCAGCTTTAATTTCTGCTGGAAGATTTGATAGTTATGGGAGCTGGAATAATGTCAGCCACAATTTATTGAGCTCTTCTTTGTTAAGGCAATAGCAAATGCCAAATATTGCTGACTGAAATCATATGGATCAATTCTTTTTAAAATTCATTGTCATCTTTTGTTATTAAACCCAGAACCAAACAGTGCAATATTTCTGTGTTGTAAAGGAAAACAGAAATAACTAAAACGGAGGTGAGAACAAAAAAACAATTGAAGACTACTGATTCTCACATTCTGCTCACTTCAATATAAGGATTAGGAAGACTCAAAATTTTAACTCTGCTTCTCCAAGATGCGCTTGTTTTTCCAGCATTGTTTCTATTCTTTCCCAACACAACCTTGTATTTCAATAGGATTACTTCTCGTTCTTCAGTTCTTGTTGAGACAAAATCCCATCTTCTCACTGAGGACACCCTTCATTGTGTCATGTGATACCATACCATGCTAAATGAGCTATGTCCAGATCAGAGTTTGCAGTTGAAAACTGGGCAACCATGATGTGCTCTGGACTATCAGTTTTAGCAAAACTGTGTCCCACCACAATCTGTAATGTTACAGGTCTGGCATTTCCCTCATTCTACTGAAACCCCAAAGCCAGGGGATTAACCTTGTATCAATGAACGTGCCAAGAATAGTAGCTGATGTATTTAAAAATGAAGGGCTAACTTGGCCAAGATTTAACTAAATGACAGAAGTAGCATTCTAAACGCATAACAAAGAGATCTCACAATGAACAGATCAATCAAAGTTCTGCAGTCTTACAATATCTAACCATGAATAGAGGTAGACAATTCAACAACCTCTGGGAGGTGAAATTTCCCTGAACATCCCTTTCCTTAACAATGGAGTCAGTCAAAAGTCACACAACGCTCGGTTATAGTCCAACAAGTTTATTTGAAATCACAAGCTTTCGGAGCACTGCTCCTTTGTTGGGTGGAGTGAAGTCACTTCACCTGATGAAGGACTGGCGTTCTGAAAGCTTGCGAGTTCAAACAAACCCGTTGGAGTATAACCTGTGTCATGTGACTTCTGACTTTGTCTGCCACAGTCCAACACCGGCATCTCCACATCATCTCAATGATGAAAGGTAGGCGAAAGCTCCTGTAACCATCTTCAGCTGTATGTCCCTAATGGATGATGTAACTAGGCCTTCTCAACCATCACAGATACCAGTCGGTGAGTAATTCACTCACTTCATTATACCAGGGAATGATTGAGCAACAGCAAAGGAAAAGACTATGGTAGTTGTGCCCAAGTGTGGTGCTCAAAGTGCACCTCCAGCAAAGTTTTCCTGGTATCAATAGAACACTGGCATTTGTATCACAGAGTGAAAACTTGCCCATGTTTGTCCTGTCCATGAAAGGCAGGACAAATACAATCTGCCCAATTATTGCCTCCCCTCCTCCCATTATCTTATTCTTAATTACGAGCAAAGTGATGGAAGGTGTCATTGACCTGGCTATCAAGGGGCATTAGAACAGCAATAACGTGTTCACTGACAATTTGGTTCCTGGTTCAAATGGGAAACAAATGGCTGCACTGAAGAGGTGAGCAAATAGTGACTGTCTGATATAAAGTCAGCATTGTGGCTGAGAGTGGCATGAAGGAGCTCTGGTAAAAATAAGGCAATGAAAATCAGAGGGAAAGCTTTACTCTCATTGAAGTCAGGCAAAGAAAGTAGATGTAGTTAGAGATAAATCATCTCAAACTCATATATTGCATCATGAGTTCCTATAACTAGTATCCTAGTTCCAACCACTTTCAGCTGCTTCTTCGATGACTTACTTTCCATCATAAGATCAGAATTGGAGATATTTGGTGAAGATTGCAGTGTTCAGTATCATTTCTGTTTTTTCAGATACTGAAGCAGTCCATGTTCATATGCTGCAAGACAATGAACAACATTCAGTTAACTGCCAAGCTACGTTTAAATTTTAAATCAGACAAGTTTCAGCTTCTATATCCATAAATTAACCACCCGGCTCATCTAGAGATTCCTGCAGTTCCACACTTTATAAGATAGACCTGTAGCAGTGCATGGCACTGAGCGTGGATCTCAAGATGCAGCGAGAACAGCTGTCTGAGGACAGTTATAATCATGAAAATATCTGTAATCCTGAGTGGATTCAAAACAAGCAGCATGAAACTTTGATGGATGGCCATTTTATATAATGTTTTATACTATATATATTAATGCAGCAATATATTTTACATTGACTCATAATGTTGTAGTGGCCTCGAAAGAGGCCATTCAGCCCAGTAAGTTCTTGTAGACTCTCTGTTGAGCAGTCCAGTAGACATACTCCCTGCTCTGTAATTCTGAAAATTTATATTCCCTCATGTGCAACTCTAATACTATTTTGAAGCTATAAGTTGTTTCCACTTCCTTTACCCTCATGGGCAGTGAGTTTTAGGTCATTAACACTCACAACTTAAAAAATGTTCTAGGTATGGAGCTGGAGGAACACAGCTGGCCAGGCAGCATCAGAGGAGCAGGAAAGCTGATGTTTCGGGTCGGGACCCTTTTTTGAAGAAGGGTCCAGACCCGAAATGTCAGCTTTCCTGCTCCTCTGATGCTGCCTGGCCTGCTGTGTTCATCCAGCTCCATACCTTGTTATCTTAGACTCCAGCATCGGTAGTTCCTACTATCTCTTAAAAAATGTTCTTCCTCACCTCCCTGCAGCATCTTTTACACAAAAACCTAAATCTACTCTCTTTCTCTGTTTGTTCTAGTGCCTGATGTGGAGCGACATGATAGGAATGGAACAGCTAACTATCCTGCTGGATAGCAAATTAGGTGTAAAAGATTAAATATAAAAATTAAAATTGAATGTTTCATACCATGTCTTGGTCTAAACAACTTGAAAAATGTCTTCATATGGCTTCAGATAAATGTTTCAATGTTAGGGAAAAAGGACCAAAAAAAAAGCCCTAAAGAGAAAAGAGCCTGAATCAGGTGTACTTCTATTCATTTCTGGATGTAACAATTTGGAAAATTTTCGAATCATGTACATTGATCTCCTTAGGGAAAGACTCTCCACCTATAGAAAGACAAAACATCCTTTTCCCCTATGATATTGCTATTGTTAGTGCCCTACTAAAAGCTGCCTGTAAGCATTTTTTTTATTATGTATCAAATGGTAAACATCCATGACAGTAATTATAGCAACAGAGCTATATCTGGTTGTTGAATGGGCTTTTAACATTGATGGCATCTAGGCCAAATACAGGCAGTCTAATACATTTTCTGAATAAAACCCTGATGAGAAAACTATTCCTTTGCGTTCTGACTTAGTCTGTAAATTTGAACTTCAAGATTCTAACGAATGTAATCCAAAGATAGAATTTGTCCACTTACTCAGCAGGGAGAAATGACTAAGCCTGAGTTTCCTATTGACCTTTTGGGTTTGCAGTGGGAGTCATGCATTCAAAATCAAGTTTTGAATACTTTACATAGATTCAGAAAGTATTCATGCTGCAGTCAGTACAAACAACTTGATTCATTTACAGATGTTTATTTAGCAGATGCTCCTTGATTGCAATTCAGCGTATATTTATGTACTGCAAAGGACAAATTTCCTTAGAAAGTTAAATTAATTTACATTGGCAAAGTTTATCTGCCTATAATTTTTACTCTCATAGCAACTACTCTTCCATTCAAACATGTTCTGCCAAATCATTTCTCAGAGTTCAACCAGACCTCTAATGTTCTCACTGATGCTTCATGTTGATATTAGATTATCACTACACTGTCGTTATTATCTTGTAGTGTCTGACATTGATCTATTCTTAATAAATGAAAGCCGTCTATTGAAAGTAGAGAGTTGATTAGTCATTAACCTCAAACTCTGACAAGAAGAATGACAAGATCAATATTACAAGTTGGTATGGTCAACGGAATCCAAGCACGCTAACGCTGGCTCTTGTCATACTCGCTAAATTATATTTTGATGGCTGAAGCTTGTCATGATGACATAAAATAAGGGCTATTAATCTTTCAAATCTCATTGACCAGATAAAAAAGACTTGGAGTTTGGAATTCAGAGAAAAATAGTTAAAAATGGCCGTCAAAGTCTTCAGTTCTGAAAGTAACCAAATTCATAGGAATATACAAAAAGAATGTCTAATGGCTATGACTGACTACCCTATCTGGAAAGGCTATCTAAGTAGTAATTACCTGAATAGTAAAATTCCTCATCTGGAGTGTATAGCTCATACAGATACCTTCAAATGTTTGCATAGGGATGAGACTTCTTAACTATATAAAGTTTAGAACATAGAACAGTACAGCACAAAAACAGGCCCATTGACCCATCATGACTGTGCTGACCATGATGCCATTCTTAATTAATCTCATCTGCCTGCACATAGTCCATATTCATCTATTCCTTTCTTGTTCAAGTGTCTGTCTAAGTATCTCTTCAACATTGCTATAATTTCTGCTTCTACCAACTTCCTTGGCAACATGTTCCAGGTACCTACTACACCCTCTGTAAAAAAAAAATTCCCTCATTCTTCTCCTTTAAACTTTTCCCTTCTCATCTTAAACCTATGTACTCCTAGTATTCAATATTTCCACCCCAAGAAAAGATTCTGACTATCCAACCTGTCTACACCTCTCATTATTTTATTCACTTCTATCAGGTTGCCCCTCAGCCTCCAATGCTCCAGTGAAAACAATCCATGTCTGTCCTACCTCTCCTTATAGCAACATCCTGGTAAATCTCTTTTACAGTCTCTCTAAAGCCTTCACATTCTTCCTATTGTGTGGTGACTAGAACTGCACATAATTCTTCAAATGTAGCGTAAGTACAGTTTTATACAGCTGCAACATGACTTGCCAACTTTGGTACTCAATGCGCTGACTGATGAAGGCAAGCATGTCGAACGCCTTCTGTACCACATGTATTGCCACTCTCTATATCAATGTTCCTAAGGATCCTGCCATTTACTGATTAAACTCAATCTTTCATTTCTCAGTCCAACTTTCCAACTGATCATTATCCTACTGTATCCTTTGACAACCTCCCTCACTATCCAAAACTCCGCCAATTTTCATATCATGTGCAAGTATACTAATCAGACCACCTACATTTTCATCCAGATCAAATATGTTACAAACAACACATGTCCCAATACTGATCTTCACGGAACAGCACTGATCACAGACCTCCAGTTAGAAAAACACACCTCCACAACTACCCTCTGTCTTCTATGACAAAGTCAATTTTGTATTCAAACTTGCTAACATGTGATCCAATCTTCTTGTCCAGCTTACACTGAGAGACCTTGTCAAATGCGTTAATGCAATCCATGCTGACAACATCCACTGCTCTACACCTTCATCACTTCCTCAAAAAAAACTCAATCAAATTCGTGAGACAAGACCTCCTCTGCAAAAAGCCATGCTGACTATCCCTAATAAGTCCATTCTTTTCCAAATGCGAGTAAGTTCTGTCCCTAAGAATCTTCTCCAATAATTTCCTTATCACTGATATAAGATTTACTGACCTATAATGTCCTGGATTATCCCTGTTGTCCTTCTTAAACAAAGGAACCACATTAGCTATTCTCCAGTCTTTTGGGACCTTGCCAGCAGCTAAAGAGGATACAAAGATCTCTGTCAAGGTCCCAGCAATCTCCTCCTGTGCCTCCTTCAGTATCCTGGGTTAAATCCCATCAGGCCCTGGGGACTTACCTACTTTAATGTTTTTCAACATACCCTAGAATATCAACATACCCCTCCCTAACCTTACCATCATCCACGTCCTTCCCCTTGGTGAATACCGATGCAAAGTATTCATTAAGGACCTGACCCATTTCCTCTGGCTCCACACATAAACTCCCTTGTTTGTCCTTGAATGGACCTACCCTTTCCATAGCTTTTCTCTTGCTCATTTTACGTACATATATATTTATATACATGAATGCTTTGGGATTCTCCTTAATCCTTCTTGCCAAGGGTGTTTCATAGGGCATGGTACCTTTTAGCCCACCTACTTCCTTGTTTATGTCACTTCCTGCAACCTTTATGTTTCTCAAGGGCCTTAACTGATTTTAGTTCCCTAAACCTGACATATTCTTCCATGTCAGATGTCAGTTTACCCTCAAACAACTGCTAACCAATCTAATTTCTCCAGTTCCTGCCTAATTCTATAATTAGCCTTCTGCCAGTTTAGCACTTTCACTCAAGGACCAGGTTTATCTTTATCCATAGCTATCTTAACTCTTACAGAATTATAGTCATTCTTCCCAAAACGCTTCCCCGTTCAAACTTTGATCAATTGGCCAGACACATTCCCCAATACAAGGTATAGTATGCCCTTCATCAATTGGCCTATCAATATATTGTTTCAAGAAACCCTCCTGGATGCACCTAACAAATTCTGTCCCATCCAAGCACCTGGCTCTAAGGGAGTCAAGTCAATATTGGGAAAGTTAAAATCACCCACTATGACAATCCTGTTGTTTTTACACCTTTCCATGATCTGCTTATGTATCTGTACCTCTGTCTCCTGAAGGCTATTGTGAGGCCTATTCAATAACTCCGTCATTGTGATTGCAGCTTTCTTATTCGCGAGTTCTACCCATATGGCCTTGCTGGATGAGCCCTCCAAGGTGTCTCTGGACAGCTGTGACATACTCTCTGATCAATAACGTAATCCCCCCACTCCTTCTACTCTCCTCTCTATCATACCTGATACACCTAAACCTTGGAATGTTGAGCTGCTAGGCCTGTCCTTCTCTCAACCAAGTTTATTTCATGGTGACAACATCGGAGTTCCATGTACTAATCCAGGCTCTAAACTTATCCACCCTATCTCTTAACTGCTGTACTCCTTGCATTAAAATGAATATACTTCAGACCGCCAGTCCCAACATTT